GGGTCTGGCACACTGTAGGGTATTGTGCAGACAAATCACCTTGGGATCTTGTTAAAATGCAGATTCTGGTTCAGTGGGTCTAGGGTGGAGCCTGAGAGTCTCCATTGTCTAACGAGTTCTCAGGTGATCCTGAAGCTCCTGGTCCACAGCCATCATTACCCTAAATAATCCAGAAAACCGGGCTGGGTCAAGCCGCCTTCAGCACGTGGAAAACTCCAGGAACATCATCCCACTTCTCAGTTCAGTCTATTGATTCTGTTCCAACACCAGCTGCAGAGGCAGCACTTCTTTCTCTGACCCTAACCACCTGGAGCGAGGTCAGACTCCAGAGTGCCACGTCCACCCAAGACCTCAGACTCCAGCTGCAAGTGTGGGAGTCCTCATATTACATTCACTTCTGACCTGCTGGCTACAAATCCAGGGGTTCCTTCTACCCGCTCAGGATACCAGCTGTAAGCTCAGGGATCCCCAGGGCTCCCTTACATCTGACCTGCTGGCTTCTACTACCCCCTTGGATTCTATAATTCACTAGAACTTCTCACAACTCACAGAAAGTGCTATACTTATGTCTACAAATTTATTATACCAAAAGGATATGAATGAAGACACACATAGGGTGAGGTCTGGGAGGGTTCCCAACATGAAGCTTCCTCTGGGTGAATGCACTACCCTCCCACAAGGAGACTTGGTGGTGCAATGGATAAGTGCTCAACTGCTAACTGAAAGGTTGACTGTTTGAACCCAGCAGCCACTCAGTGGAAGAAGACAAGACTTGGCGATCTGCTCCTGTAAAGATTGTCGTTGTTGTTGTCAGGTGCCGTTGAGTCTGTTCTGACTCATAGCGACCCTCTGTATAGCAGAACAAAACGTTGCCTGGTCTTGCACCATCCTTAGAATTTGTTGCTGTGTTTGAGCCCATTGTTGCAGCCACTCTGTCAGTCCATCTCCTTGAGGGTTTTCCTGTTTTTCAATGACCTTATGCTTTACCAAGCATGATGTCCTTCTCTGGGGATTGGACCCCTCCTGATAACATGTTCAAAGTAAGGAACATGAAGTCTCACCATCCTCGCTTCTGAGGAGCCTAGGAAACACTATGCGGTATATCTTAGTTATCTAGTGCTGCCATAACAAAAATACCACAGGTGGATGGCTTTAACAAAGAGAAATTTATTCGCTCGCAGTTTAGGAGGGTAGGAGTCCAAATTCGGGTGCCAGCTCCAGGGGAATGCTTTCTGTCTCTGTTGGCTCTGGGGGAAGCTCCTTGTCATCAATCTCTCCCGGTCAAAGAACAGCGCAGGACGTCAGGTCCAAATGACACACTATTCTCCTGGCCATTGTTTCTTGGTGGCATGAGTTCCACCATGTCTCTCTGCTCTCTTCTCTGTTTTATATCTCAAAAGAGATTGGTTTAAAACACAACCTAATCTTGTAAATTGAGTCTACAAGATTACCTCATTAACATAACTGCTACTAATCCCACATCGTAGAGGTAGGGTTTACAACACACAGGAAAAATCACATCAGATGACAAGATGGTGGACAATCACACAATACTGGGAATCATGCCCTAACCAAGTTGACAGACATTTTTGGGGAACACAATTCAATCCATGAAGTGTAGTTCTACTCTGTCCTGTAAGATCACTGTGAGTCAGAATCGACTCAATAGCACATAACAACAACCTTCCCACATGCATTAATGTCTGTTACCAACCAGGAAGCGCGTAGTGCTTCCCTGTCCAGAGCCTTTATTGGGTCATCGTTAGGTAGGCATGTTTGATTTTAATCATGCTTCCCCTTCCCCAAGGTCTTTCTGACTTGTTCACCTGGAGTCACCTCATTAGCATAAACCCTCAGGTGTGGCCTAGAGGCCTCAACAAAGACACTCCAATAACTAGGGAAATTACAAGGTTTTAGAGGTTATTTCTCAGGAACCAAGGACAAAGACCAAATTCTCTGGTAAATTTAACCCCACACCAGGAGAGGGGCAGGGACAGGCCTAGGACACTGTACCCATCTAACTCAATAATGCAAAGCTCTTTCTCTCTGCCATATAGAAGAGGGCTGGGAGAGCAAATTCTAAATCAGCTGGCCCCAGTTCAAAGATGCGGATGCATTGCGAGACTGTTGTCAGGATTGTCCAGGGCTGGGATTAGCCAGGGTTGATCCTCACAGCTGCTCGGGTTGGGGGAAGGGCTGATTCCAATCAAATGGAAAAACTAAATGGCTGTGACCAGTGATGGGAAGCTTGGCCTGAAACCTGCTTGCTTAGCACATCTCTCTCTCTCTCCCTTTTTCCTAGTTTGCCACTTATTTATTTATTTACTGGTGAAAATATAACAAAACATATGTCAATTCAACAATTTCTACGTGTATAATTCAGTAACATTGATTGCATCCTTCATGTTGTCCAACCATTCTCGCTATCCTTTTCCAAATTATTCCACCACCATTAACATAAACTCAAAGCCCCCTAAGCAAAAACTCCCAGCAGCTATCCTGGGATTAAAGCAACTGTCCCTTCCTTTCCCCAGACAAGTGCACGTGCGCACACGCACACACGCGCGCGCACACACACACACACACACACACGCGCGCGCGCCCTTCTAATTTTGCTTTGAATTAGAGGGACCCCTGAAGCCCGTCAGTCTGAGTTATGAAACTCTGAGCTAATCATAATAATCATACTATTACAGAACACTTAATGTATGCCAAGCACTCAACTAATTTATTTGGTTCAATTAATTGGCCCAGCAACCCTATGAAACAGGTGCCATAAAGATCATTAACCATTCTCAGCCCTTGATTTCCCCTGATGAAGATTTACTATCAAAGACTTGGGATTCAAGAGACCTAGGTTCAAATCCCCACTCTGCCACTTACTAGCAAGTCACTTAGCCTATCTAAGCCTCAGTTTCCCTATACAGGCAGTCCCCATCTTACAGTGGGGTTCCCTTCCAACGACTCCATCGTAAGTCAGTTCTGACGTAAGTCGGATACCTCTTTTTTTTTTAGTTTTTATTATGGCCTTTTATGATTATGGCCTTTTATTATCAGTATCTTTATAAATCTGATCTTTATTTGTCTTTAGGGGTTGGAAACATTAAATATAAATTTACAGATATATTTTAATACATACATACATAAAAAATACACAGAACATTAAATAACAGACGGTGTTAAGTGCAGTTCATACTAACTTGAATACGTCGTAAATCGAGGACTACCTGTACGTGCTTGGCATAACCTAAGTTCAGTGTATTTTGTTCACTACTTTATTATTCCATGAGCTCAGCCAGCCACTATAGTGAAAAAGCAAAGATTCCATACCACTTAGTGGTGTCAAAGGAGTCCTGGTGGCACAATGGGTAAAGATTTACAGCCTTGGAAACCCTAGCGGGCAGTTCAACTCTGTCCCATAGGGTCACTATGAGTCGGAATTGACTCGATGGCAACAGGTTTGGTTTTTGTTTTTTTCAGGTGATAGCAAAAGAGACCCCAGAGATCAGTTAGTTTGACAGCGAGAAGGGAAGGGTGTGCCCGCGACACCCAGCAGATGAAGAGCAGAGCTGGGCTAGAACCCTTGCTTCCTGACCCCAGTATAACAAATTTCACCACGGCCCACTGCCTGCCCTCACGAAAGAGGCACCCAATCTAGTGTGAGAAATGTTCTCAGCACACCTGCCTTTCCCTGTCAGCCATCTTGAGCCGTGGTTTAAAAAAGTCTCTCCTAAGAGGACTTCCAAGGTCCCTGGGTGGTGCAAACAGTTTGCCCTCGGCACACCCAGCAGCTCTGCAGAAGAAAGTCCTGGTGATCTGCTTCCATAAAGATTACAGCCAAGAAAACTCTATGGGGCAGTTCTACTCTGTAACACACGGGCTCACCATGAGTTGGAATTGGGTAAGAGGCCTTCAGAGCTGCTGAAACTGGGGAGAATTTATCATATCCAACATAGGTTTTTAGTGTGTTCCTTTTCAGAATTAAGAACAAACCCTGAACACCAGCAGTTCAGTAAGCAAAAGACAGAATCTTGGCTATAGCTTGTTTAGAGTCCCTGGGTGGTACAAACGGTTAACACACTGCCCTGCTAACCAAAAGGAAGTTCGAATCCACCCAGAGGTCCCTCAGAAGAAAGACCTGGCAGTCACTCCTGAAAAATCAGCCATTGAAAACCCTATGGAGCACGGTTCTACTCTGACACACATGGGGTCACCATGAGTCAGAACTGACTTGACAGCAACTGGTTTTCATAGCTTGTTAGTAATCTCGTGAAAAAGTGTGTGCCCTTCACAGATAGCCCAGAATTGCAAATTGAAGCCAGATTCCCTTTGTAGCTTACACAGTTTGCAAAGATTTCCATTAAAGTGATAACACTCAGCTCTGGCTGAGTGTTGCTTTCAGGAGGTAACTTAGCAAATTATATCAAAGTCTTAAAAATCTGTCTTCAGAAAATCGTTGGAAATACCAAAAAACTTTATATACAGAGCTGTTCATCTCAGCATTAGTTGTAATCATTTCCTTTTTTTTTTTAAAGGAAACAATCTAATTATCCAAAAAATAGGGAAATGATTAAATAAATTCTAGTATGTCCACTCAGCGGAGTATTCGAGAGCTATTTAAAACAATGTTTGCAAAAATGTATCATCACATGGGGAACTGCTTATAGGCTGACATTAATTTTTAGGAATCAGAATGCTGGCAAGTGTGTATAGTACACCATGATCACAACTGCAGTTTTTAAAAAGTAACTGCATACAAGGGTGAGAGAAAATACACCAGAGTATTAGCATTTCCCAAATGTCCTGTAATGAGCGTATATTACTTCTCATTGTTTGGTAAATTTTAGAGATGCATGCATTTTGGGGACCTCAAGTGTAGCATTGGATTAATCATGATGGGACCATGTTTTACTTTCATTCTTGGAAACACATAATAAGCCATGGGAACAAGATCAGCCATGCCAGCCTCCCTCCCAGTCTGTTTTCTCTCTGCCCCCTAGCTGTGCTGGAGCTGCCCCAGGTGTCCCTGTGCCCCCTGTTCTGGGTGGAGTTCAGAGACCACTGCTACAGATTCTTCCCTCTCAGTAATACCTGGGGGGAGGCAGACCTGTACTGCTCCGAGTTCTCCATCGGCAGGAAGTCGGCCAAGCTGGCCTCCATCCACAGGTGAGTGGGCTCCTTGGTCATCCACAGCCCAACACCAAGCGACACCTTGGGGAAGGGGAGTCAAGAATGGTGTGTCTCTTTGATAATTGAAGCTAATTTGTATCCAGCCCAATTTCTCATTGAAACTGACGTTGGCAGTAGAAGGCAAAGTATTCAGCAAGGATAGCAAATAGCATGCTGGAGAATCCATCTTTCTGAATGCCAGTAGCCTCTGTATCACATGTATATATGTATACATATAAGGACTATAAGGAATGTAATAAAGAAATACAAGGAATAGTAAGTGACATTTCTTTGCTAAGTGTTTCAGGTACATCGTCACAATCAGGCTCCTTCAAACCACATTAGGTGGTGGTTGTCGTTAGTGGGCTCTCTGGTGGTGTAATGGTTAAGAACTTGGCTGCTAACGAGAAGGTTGGTAGTTTGAATCCACCAGCTGCTCCTTGGAAGCCCTAAGGGGCAGTTGTACTCTGTCCTGTAGGGTAGCTATGAGTCAGAATCAACTCTGCGGCAATGGGTTTGGGGTTTTTTGTTTTTGTTTTTGTTTTTTGGTTGTTGTTAATTACCATGGCGTAGTCTCCACCTCATAGTGACCTTGTGTATAACAACAAAACGTTGCCTGTTCCTATGCCGTCTCCATGATCTTTAATGTTTGAGCTCATTGTTAAGGCTATTGTGTCAGTCTATCTCACTGAAGGTTTTCCTCGTTTTCATTGACCCTCTACTTTGCCAAACATGCTGTCCTTCTCTTTCCTGATGGCATGTCCCAAAGTAAGGAAGATGAAGTTTCGCCATCCTCACTTCTAAGGAGCAGTCCGGTTGTATTTTCTTTAAGACTGATTTGTTCGTTGTTCTGGTAGCCCACAGTACATTCAATATCCTTCTCCAACACCACAGTTTAAATGCATCAATTCTTCTCCTGCCTTCTTTTTTCATTATCCAGCTTTTGCATGCATATGAAATGATTGAAAAGAGCATGGCTTGGGGCAGACACACTTTAGTCATCAGGAATACGAGGAATAATAAGTGACATTTGTTTGCTAAGTGTTCCGGGTACATCATCACATTCAGGCTCCCTCAAACCATATTAGGTAGGTATCCTCATTTTACAGATGAGGAACCTGAGGGTCTAAGAAGTAACTAACTTATTCAAAATTACACAGCCGTTAAAAAAAAGTTGCACAGCCATTAAGTGGTGGAGGTGGGTTTTGAACCTGAGCAGTTGGATGCCATAGCTCACCGTCCAAGGCCTCCTTTACATTCCTCTGTGTCTCCTGTCTCCAGCCACACTGACCATCTCAGAGTTCTCCAGTTCATCCCCTTTACTTGTCTATACCTTTGCATATTCTGTTCCCTGTGCTGGGAATGGCTGTCCCTATCTTCTCCTCCAGGTAGATACCTCCTCAACCTTCAAGACTCAGCTCTGACAGTATCTGCTTACTGATGTCACCCTGACTCCCTGGCACCCTAATTACACCCATTACCCACTCTCCTAGAACCCTTCCTTCATCACAGTTTAATTACTTGTGTTCACATCTGACTTCCCTACTGATTTGTGAGTTCCTTGAAGCAAGTTGTGATAGATAGGTCCCTTGGCACCCAAGCTACAAATTTACAATCTTGCTTCTCTTCTTCAAGAACCTCAGAGACTTCAAATTAGAAAGAGGGTTGGTTCTTTATGTTTTAGAGCCACTGAATTTTAAGAATAGAAAAGAAATCCTCTATCTTCGTTTCTAAAGGAGTCTGAATCCACCTATAAATTCATCTAACAGATACGTTGAGTCCTGAAGAATTTATCGAGCCGGTCAGTGTCCAGCCAGGAAAACAGGAACCACTACAAATATTTAAAACAGAGAATTTCATACAAGAAGGAGGTTACACAAGAGATGGAAGCTGAGAATTTAAAGAGAAAATGAGCAACGTAGAGATTACCAATAGCAGGAAACCACTGCCACCCTAAGCTTCTGTGGGCGCTGCAGCGACTAAGGAGGGGCAACCCCAGCTAGAGACTCCCAAGGCAGAGAGGGGAAGAAATACCCTGGCTTCTCTCTTCCTCCCTCCAGTCGCTCATTACTGCCTCCCATTGGTCGGAAGTCAGCTGACATGGAAGCCTGGACAATGCTGTCTTTAGGAATCAAATGAACCCTCTGTGATACGGTGCTGAGCACAACGCAAGACTGGCATGTGTAAAGATGAAATAAGTGGAAATGATGTAAGTGGATGAAATAAGTGCTCGAAAAATTCCCAGGCCAGAGAGGAAAAGGAGACATATTGTAATCAGGGGTTCGAACTGGTTCAGTCCAATTTGACCCCCTGCTGAGAATTTGCCTTTCTACCCTAGATATGCTGAATCAGAATCTACATTTTAACAAGATCCCCAGGTGATCCTTATGTGTAAATAAGAATATGCAAATTCTCAGCAGGAGTAGAACCTGAATGAACTGGTTCAAAGCCCTGATTGTAATAAAGGGTATTCCAAGAGTATCAAAGGGATTCCAAGTGAAGATTTCGCTTTAGCCAGACCACGGTGGGGGGGGGGGTGGCGGTGGGGGGGATAGCTCAGCCTGCCTGATGGTGATTGTAAGCTAAACCTTGGTTAACTGGACATCAGAAGAGATTCCAAGAAAACTCAAGGTTTTTCCAGCAATCCCTGGCCCAGTGCCTGTTCTTTCTGCCACAAGTTGACCTTCTTCCTCTCTTCTCAACCCCTGGCCTCCCTCATGTGCTCATATTAACATTCTCACACACTTTATTTTCTATTTTAAGCCCCTTTCCTCTTTTGTACAGATAGTTCCCCACTTTAGCACATAATACTTTCCTGAAAACTTACAGAAAAGTTGAATTTGAATAATACATTCACTTGTTATAAATGGAGTTCAGTTCCCATAAAGCTAAACAATATTATACATCTTAGTCTTTGAGATGCAGTCTAATTCTGCATCTCTGGCATTTTCTTCATGCTTTTTCGTTTTGTTCTTTCCCTCCATAATTAAACCCACAGTCAGCTTATGTCCACAGGGCATCTGATGAAGGTTTCAGATTCTCATATTTTCAGGTTACTAATAATGTCCATCTTTGTTTCAGTTGACGGTTGAATCAAATTAAGTTCACTTGATCTCTGCTCCTTATTACTTGTAGTATCACCTTGGGTTTCTCCATCTGCCAGTTATTTTGATCATATATGGGGGAATGCAATAAAATATTCAAATAGTTGCCCAAGCAGGTGGTGTTGAACAAGGACGGCAATGGCGCCAGAATGCCTGAGCAGACACTCTGCCAGATGACTGTTCAAAATGCATGTTTGGCAGTTGATATAGGAGAGCAGAACTGTGCATGAGAGGCATTTGGGAGTACCAGCGCTTACCCAGCAAGGTAGGACCACCTCCCTCCTTTTACCATGGGGGATAATATTTCCAAGATGCTTCCTACAAACTTCCTCTTACATCCAGTTGGCCAAACTGGATTATATGGTCAGCATTAGCTGCAAAGGAGACTGGGAAAGTAAAGCCTGGCTTTCCTAGATTCCATTGTAGGCAACAAAGTAATTAGGAATGGTTGTTAGGCAGACAAGCAACAGTGCCTTCTCCAGTGTCTGCTTGAATGAAATGAGTTCATGTGTGTAAAACACTCAGCACAGTACCTGGCATAAAATCAGGGCTCAAGAAGCAGTTTAATGACGAAGAAAATCTCCATGTGTCTGTCTGTCTATCACTCTACAGCTATACTTCTCTATCAACCCATCAATCCATTGATCCATCCATCTTTATTCTTTGCTTTGTTGGTCCTCCATGATTTCTTTTGTTAGATGAATTATTTGATACTCTTCTTTGAAATAGAACATTAGGATCCCCCAAGGAGGTATCACTGCAGAAGGAAGGGCTGTTAACTACAGGGATTTGGATTTGCCGAGTGGGACATGTTTTGCTGAGTGAGCAATGCGAGTTCAAGCCTAGAACTGAATTTCCCAGGAAAACAAAAGTTTTTGGAGATGGTGTGGAGAAAAGATTAGGAGAAAGGAGGACATGTAAGCATTGGTAGTATAAGGAGGGCTTTTGAAGGAGAAGAAAAATATCTAGTGGAGATTTTTATTAAGTTATCTGACATGTGCAACACAGTGTAAAACTCTTCCTTTGTTTCTTGATGCTACCTTCAGTAAAAGACACCTTGTTTGCTAGTGTTTGTGAGATAGATTTAAGTTTTTAAGTGTGAATAGCTGTGCTGAGTCCTGCTTTGAGCTGGCATGGGTCAAATTCAGAGATGTCCATGGGAGGACAGCCACATATAACTGACCTTCTAATTAAAAAAAGAAGAAGAAGGCAGAATGGCATCATATCCTCTATGTACTTTGCTTCAGGAAGGTTAACAAGGATTGCTTTCAATTTTCAACTCTATGCTATGCAAGGAGGCCTGGTGGCGCAGTGGTTAAGAGCTCATGCTGCTAATCAAAAAGGCCAGCAGTTTTAACCCACCGGCTGCTCCTTGGAAACCCTATGGGGCAGTTCTAGTCTGTCCTGTAGGGTCACTATGAGTCAGAATCAACTTGACAGCAGTGGGTTTGGTTTCTGTTTGTTTGTTTTATCCTATGAAAGGAGCCCTGGCAGCACAATGGTTAGGCACCCAGCTGCTAACCCAAAAGTTGATGTTTCTTACCTGCCCAGTGACTCCATGCGCGAAAGACCTGGCGATCTGCTTCTGTAAAGATTACAGTCAAGAAAACCTCATGGGGCAGTTCTACTCAGTTACATGGGTCACCGTGAGTCAGAATTGACTCAATGGCACCGAACGACAGCAACATCCTATGAAAAGAGGCAATGAGTAACGTGCCACTGTGTTTCTTACATCCACAGCTGGGAGGAAGATGTCTTTGTGTATGACCTCATGAACAGCTGTTTTCCTGAGATCCCAGCTGACATCTGGACAGGGCTTCATGATCATTGGCAGGTGAGGATGCACTGGCCATCAGGCCTCCCTGGGAGCTCTGCCCAAGGTCTCATTTTGACTTAACCAAACTTTCCTATAGAACCTATGTGCCAGTCTCTGCTATGCATCCAGCATACAGAGGAAGCGGACACCAAGATGCCACAGGTAGAAAATGATAAATGTGATGCAAGAGGATTTGGTGGGACTGTATGGTGTGGAGGTTTCTAGGGGCCAGGGAAGACCTCAGTCAGTTTGGTTCCTCCAACATGATACACACCAGGACCGGATTAATTGTTCAAGAGATTTTAGAGGGGAAACATTTGTGAAGGGGGCAGAAGTAGGCAGGGAGAGCCCTCAGACCAAGATGCGGGTCTGCAATTTGTGAAAGGAGAAGGGGAAGGAAGGGTTAGGTAGGAGGAGCCTTAGATCACAGCAAAATTCTGAGGAAGTCTTGGCTAGACCACTGCTGAGTCCCCAAGCACAGGTTGCCCATTGCAGGAATCCCCCATTGGCAGGAATGGGCCAGCACTAGTACCCCTGACATGTTCCATCATGACTGGAGGAAGCATGGTCTCACCATGGACGCAGTGGTGGACCCAAAGGGCCGGGAGCTGGAGCTGTCAGTCAGCTATGCTCCCCACAGCTGGTCCTCCTAAAGGAGATCTGAACAGTGCATATCCACGGCTGCCACAACCTCCCTGGGTCAGAGACATTCTAGCTAGTGTCTGTTGGATCAATAGGAGCAGCCAGAGGAAGAACATTCCAGGTAGAGGGAACAGCATGGGCAAAGGTCCTGAGGTGGGAGAAGACCACTGTGGCTGGGATGCAGAGTGGGGCAGGGGTTGGTGGAATAATGGTGGATAATAGGCTACAGAGGGTGGTTTGGGCCAGATCTCATACCTGGCAACATCATAGCAAACTCCACCTGGAGATTTTCTTCTCAGCCTTTCCCTGGGCAAGCCACATACCGAGTCTATTTTGCACGTATGCTTCTAGCTGCCTCGGAGCACTTAGAGAACAGAGTTCTGGTTCCAATTCATTTCTGTTCTGTCGCTTACCGGTTGGGGGATGATTTGGGGCTGTTTTTTTCTCTCTCTCAGTTTCCTCATATGTAAAATGAGGATGATTATAATAGTGCCTTGTTGTAAAAATTAAATGAGCTAATTACATGAAGGGCTTAGCATGGTGCTTGGCACACCGTAAGAGCTCACTTAAAAAAAAAAAAAGTTGCCGTTGAGTCAATTCTGACTCATAGTGACCCTGTAGGGCAGAATAGAACTGCCCAATAGGGTTTCCAAGGCTATAATCTTTACAAAAGCAGATTGCCACATTTTTCTCCCAGAACCTATATAGGACAAAGTAGAACTGCCCTGTAGGGTTTCCAAGGAGCAGCTGGTGGATTCAAACTGCTGATCTTTTGGTTAGCAGCCGAGCTCTTAACCACTGTGCCACCAGGGCTCCAGAACTCACCTAGGACAGTAGAATTTGCTGCTATAGCAGTAGAAGTAACAGTAGTGGCCAGGCTCAGTATAGGTATTTTTTAAAATTAATAGAATTCATCTGGCAAAAAAATCCACATGGAAATTGTAAACAAGAAAAAATAAAATTTTCATTCATAATAGCAACTTCAAAAAATTGGATTATAGATGCCTTTAACAAAAGTTTTAAAAGAACAAGCCCAAACCCGTTGCAGTCGAGTCGATTCCAACTCATAGCGACCCTGTAGGACTGAGTAGAACGGCCTCATATGGTTTCCAAAGAGTGGCTGGTGGATTTAAACTGCTGATCTTTTGGTTAGAAGCCGTATCACTTAACTACTGTGCCACCAGGGCTCCAAAACTTTAGGGAACTGATATCACCAGACCTACTAACAATAATAATAGCTAACAATACAGTAAAGGGGCTTGGTTTTGTTTTCTTTTCAGGGCTCACCGTGTGCCAGGCACTGTGCTAGAGCTTTTGCATTCTTTAACTCAGCCAACCCTCACAACAAGTCTCTGAGGGAGATGTCAGCTCCACTGTATGAGTTTCCACATACAGAAGCTCAGAAAGGTTAAGTATCTTATCCAGGTTGCAGAGCTTGGAAGTGGGTGGAGCTGGGATCTCAAGCTCTAGTCTCTCCGTAGTCACATGCTGTGCCCATCCCATGCATGACTTCCATCACCATCAGGGCTTTGAGGGAGACTTTTCTAAAAACTTGACTAAGTGGAGAAATGGAACTTGTTCACAGGCATTGCAAAGATGTGGTTCTTCCCACGGTTAATTTGCACATTCTAGTGCAGCACCAATCCGATTCCCAACAGCACTTCTCTCAGAACTGGACGAAGTAATTTCACAGCAAGCAAGACAAATCCAGACTATCTGAACAAAAGAAAAGTCAAAAGTGTAGCTGCATCCACCTGTGAAATATAGTAGTTAGGGTACTGGGTACTGGAGTCCAAGAGACCTGGGTTCAAATCCCAGCACTAATGCTTTATTAGCTGTGGGACTATGGGTGGATCAGTCTGTGTCTCAGTTTTCTCATCTGTAAAATGGGGATGATAATACCTGATTTGCAGGATGGTGAGGATAAATGAATAAAGCAGCTGGCGTGGCACATAATAAGCCCTCAATAAATGGCAGCTAGTAATAGTGGAGGGAGCCCTGGTGGCTCAGTGGTTAAGAGCTCGGCTGCTACCAAAAGGTCAGCAGTTCGAATCCACCAGCCACACCTTGGAAACCCTATGGGGCAGTTCTACTTTGTTCTGTACGGTCGCTATGAGTCAGAATCAACTCAACAGCAATGGGGATTTTTTGGTAATAGTGGTGGCACAGTTAAGCACTTGGCTGCTAACAGAAAGTTTGGCGGTTTGAACCTGCCCAGTGGCTCTGTGGGTGAAAGACCTGGTGATCTGCTCCCGTAAGGATTACAGCCTGGAAAACCCTATGGGACAGTTCTGCTCTGTCACCTGGGGTCGCTCTGAGTTGAAATCAATTCCGTGTCACCTAACAACAACAGTAGCGGTGGTAACAGCAGTAGTATGAGATTAACAGTGAAAACTTCTGCTCAGATGTAGAGGTGTTAGAATGTTACCTCTGAGCTGGGGCTGGCTCAGATGCCTGATTTTCTCTCCGGGCTTGCTTCCTTACCTCTGGGTGGAACCCGCAGGAAGGGCAGTTTGAATGGACCGATGGCTCATCCTATGACTACAACTCCTGGGATGGGAGCCAGCCGGACGACGGTGTCCACGCGGACCCACAGGAAGAGGACCGCGTGCACATCTGGTACCGGCCCACCAGCGGTGGGTGCCCCAGAGGCCAGGGCCCTTGCAGGGGTGCTGGGGAGGCAGCATGGATTCCCCAGCGACTGGCAAGCTGTTCAGCACCTTGGAGAGTGGCCAAAGGTTGTTCGGGTGGCACAGAAACCAAACCTGTTGCCATTCAGTTGATTCTGATTTATAGCGACCCTATAGGACAGAGTAGAACTGCCCCCATAGGGTTTCCAAAAAGAGACTGGTGGATTCGAACTGCTGACCTTTTGGTTAGCAGCCACGCTCTTAACCACTCGCCAGTGCTAGGGGCTGGCTATTCTCCACAGTGAATGCTTTGAACAATATTTAATGGTAGGTGTTGACATAAGGAATCCTGGTAGTACAGTGGTTAAGCGCTTGGCTGCTAACAGAAATGTTGGCAGTTCGGACCTACCCGGGGGTCCACAGGAGAAAAGGCCTGGTGATCTCCTCCTGTAAAGATTACAGCCTAGGAAACCCTATGGGGCAGTTCTGCTCTGTCCTACAGAGTTGCTATGAATCGAAATTAACTCTATGGCACACAACAACAACAGGTCGTTGACATGTGGACTGTGATTTTCTGACAAGCCGTTAGAGGGAGGAATGTGAGAAAAAAAGACTTGTATAGAGAGTACCCAAAGGGAGGGGCTTCCATGTCAGCTCCCTCAGGTAGCAAAATGCAAATCCCAACCCAGGGTCAGGCTCCCAGATATTAGAACAGGGCTAGTCCTGCGGAGGTATCGAGGTGTATGTAGTAAAAAGAGCACAGACCTAGATTCGAATCTTGGCCCTGTTGCTTCCTAGCGCTGTGTCCTTGTGGGGGAACTGCTTATCCTCTCTGAAATTCTGTTTCCTCTTCTGCAAAGTGGGCTTAATCCTTCCTACCTACAAGACCGTTATGAGGACTAAAGGAAGTATACTTGGTATAGTGTAATGGCAAGAACAAGGACTCTAGCTAGAGTTGACTGCCCTTGTCTGAATCCCAGTTCCACCCCTTACTAATTGTGCAGCCCTGAGTAAATGTCTTCACCTCTTGGTGCCTCAGATTTTTCATCTGCAAAATGGGCTGATGATACTTAACTCACAGAGTTGATGTGAGGTGTAAAGAAGAGAACGTATAAAAAGTGCTGCCCATGGTTTCCATTAGCAGTCATCATCATCATCATCATCAACAACACTCTAAATCCTCACACCAACCTTAAGAAGTAAAAACTATTAATTAGTTTATCTGTAAAATATTCGTTTTGCAGATGAGGAAACTGAGGCCCAGAGAGGTTTAGAGACTTGTTCGCGGTCACACAATAAGCAAGTAGTGGATTTGGGAACTACAGAAATGGCTCTACAGAACTCCAGACCCAAACATTGAACTGTTGTTCTCTCTTTGCTTCTTTGTCTTTTCCTAACTGGGGAGGGAGCTATGGAGCAGTGACTTAGCATTCTGGGAGCCTGCCTGGAGCCAAGACCAGCTTTATGAGACAGTAAGACTGGACAGTAACTCTGTCCAGCATCAGCAAGGAAGAGCTGCCGGTGCAGACAAGGCCTACTGGAGAAGGCTTGTACCCCAGTGGGGTGGGGGTGTTCCTTTTATTGTGGTGGGAGGACCTTCACCCAGATTCTCTGCTTTCTTTCCACCACAGCTCTGAGGTCATGGAATGATAATGCCCGCAGCCGAGAGTTCCCCTTTGTCTGCAAGATCCCATCACTGACCATTCACTGATCCAGTCTTGCCCGCATCGAGTGAGCCGCAATTCCAGCATTGTGTTATAGCTGTACCTAGAGTAGCGCTGACATTCAATAAATGTTAAAAACACAGAGAAGGTAAATCTTCCAGACAAAGATTTTAAACAAGCAAATCTTAAAGCTACAGGGTGGTCACTCGGCCATAAGTGACAGGAAAACCCACTCAAACTGGCTTAATAAATAAGAAGGTTAACTGATTCAAGTAACAAATGTCCAGGGGTTGCTCTGGGTTCAGAATTGGGTCTCATTGGCTTGGCTCGGGTCATACGGCCATTTCTGAAGTGATCCCTTTGGTCTATGCTGATTGGCGAGGCTCTGCTCAGATGCACATCTCCGGGGCAGAGTGGGGTGGGCGTCAGTGTCATCTGAACCACATGGGCCAAAAGAGGAAGTGGTTTCCCAAAGGAAAACAAAAGTGTCATCAGAAGAAAGAATGGATGCCGGGCAGGAAAAATAAAACCTGCTGCCGTCGAGTCAATTCTGACTCTTAGCGACCCTGTAGGGCAGAGTGGAACTGCCCCATAGGGTTTCCAAGGCTGTAATCTTTACAGAAGCAGACGTCTTTCTCCCTTGGAGCTGCAGGCAGATTTGAACCACCGACCTTTCAGTTAGCAGCCGAGCACTTTAACCACTGTATCACCAGGGCTCCTGCAGGAAAACGGATGGATTTTTATTAATGGAAAGAGCACTGGACTCCCTCCAGGGAGTCAGGCGGTCTGGGTTGTATTCCTCATTCTCTGAGCCTTGTTTCTACTTTGATGTGAACTAGGAGAGGGCAAAAACAAAAAAAATCTGGCCCCTTGGGTTCCAGTAAGAAGCCAGAGGGAGAATGAAAGATGCAAAATGCACATCGATTGACACGTGGCAAATTACTCTGCCTCTGAGATTTTACCAGAAGAATTGGTCCTGGTGCCCAAGTTGAAAACAACATGTTCTAATTACCCCTTATTCTAAGGCGAGCAATGAACAAATGGGACCTGTTACCTTCCCCCCGAGCTTACAAAAGTGTCCTAGGAATTGGCCTTAACGACATCAACCACTGCCCCCCGCTCCACTGCCTGGTCCATATAAGGAGACGTGAGTGGGGGAAATCAAAGATGGGGTCCTTGGCCTTGTGGGGAGTTTATTGTTCGCAATGAAAGGGGTTTTCACCTTCCTTTCCCATGGGAGGGGGAGGGGAAAGGGAAGGCCTCCTCCCCACCCCCAAAGTCAAGCGAGAGAGCACTAAGAAATTGCTTGTAGAGATTGGGGGTGTCTCACTCCCCAACAAGAAGCTGACTGTGCTGTTAGAACTGCCATCCCCCTCTGGTGCTCTGCCAGGAACAAGACGGACTTATTGAGCACACGTATTACGTGTTCCTGGGAGCTTGGGGGGCATCCGGGAACAGATTCTGATGCTTACTGGGATCCCGAGGTAGGAGGAGAAAAGGGACAGTGGTCAGCAGGCCCAGGAGGAAGAAGATGTGGCATGGGCCTTGGATGGTTCCGAAAAGGACGGTAGTGGTTCCCCGGCTCCACATGAAGAAGCACAGAGGTTAGCTCTTCTGTGCCTCAGTTGTCCCATCTGTAAAATGAGGACAGCAATAGTACCTACCTCATAGTGTTGAAGTGAGAATTCAATGAAGTAATATATAGAGAGGTTTGAACAGTGCCTGCACGTAAGCCAGAAAACTAAACCCCTTGCTGTCAAGTCAGTTCTGACTTATGGTGAGCCCATGTGTTACAGAGTAGAACTGAGCTTCATAGAGTTTTCTTGCCTGTACTCTTTATGGAAGTACATCACCAGGACTTTCTTGCATGGCACTGCTGGGTGGATTTGAACTGCCAACCTTTCGGTTAGTAGTTGAGCACAAGCCATTTGCACCACCCAGGGCCCTAGTGAGTGCTATATAGTTAGGTTATCATTATCATTCCATCAGTTGGTTATTGCACAAAAATACCATGTAACAAGCCACCCAAAACTTGTTGGCTTAAAACAACCATCACTTATTATAGCCCTTGCATCCGTGGGTCAGCTGGGGTTTGGCTGATCTAGGCTGGGCAGTTCTGCTTCAGGCTACGGCAGCTAAAACAGCTCTGCTTCTCACTGCAGATCTCTGGGCCAGTTAGCGTGGCTCTCTTCCTCTTCCTCGGCTGAGTGGGCCAGATGGAGCTTGTCCTCATAGCAAAGGCGTAGAAGGGCAAGCAGAAACAGGAAAGGCCTGGGCTCAGAACTGGCACATGGTCAGTTCTGCCCATGCGCCATTGGCCCAAGGCAGTCCATGGCCAGGCCCAAATTCAAGAGATGGGTTATGTTCTGCTACGTATATTTTCAACAACAACAATAAAAAATAAATAAATTATT